ATGTCATTTGATCATCGTCCTTGCCACAATAACTACATCTTTGGGACCGCAAACTTCTTTCGGCTACTTCTGGCCCCGGAGAGGCAGCCTCCTGGAGTTTAAAGTATTCTTTCCACGATTCTGTCGACATCCAATTGCAAAATGATTGTCACTTCCACAAATGAAACAATGAGAGCATTTGTCATTTCCACTAGTTTGGCACTGCAAGCATTTTGGCGGCGTATTTCTTTTCTGGTTTCTAGTGTCTACTGGCGCAGACGAATTTGGTAATCGAGCTTGTTCAGTTTCTTGGTTGATATCCTTTAACTGACTCTTAACTTGTGCCACTTCAACTTTCAGTGCTTCCAGAGTCTTTAGAAAAAAATCTTGGGATTCAGCTTTCTCTGCTACCTGGGAAACCTGGGCAGACTTTGGGCGGTTCTGGTTTCTTAGTTTTCTTACCCGTTCATTCTCTGTCGACACTGCATTATTCACTTGCAAGATAAGCTCCTCATCTGATATCGTGGGGGTTCTGAGGTACCCCCTAACCCTTACTCTAACATTTTCATTTTGAAGGCCAGTTTCAACAGTACGTAGAAACAGCTTTTGAATATGATCATTTTCATAAACCAAAGTTTCCTCACTTTGATCTTGAGTGCTTGAAAACAGGATTTTCTGGCGTAAATCCAAGGCACGCATAAGGAATTCTTGTGGTGTTTCTTTTGACCCTTGACATATTGATGCAAGACTTTGATATAGCTCAGTTGCACTTTTTACATCATAATGGTTTCGAAGGATTTTTCGTAACCGCTCTAGAGATAGATGCTTGTAAGTTTCTACATAACTTCGAAGAACCATTCCACCATTAATTGCACGAATAACACCGTCCACAATTTCCTATTCTGTGTACCCCTGTTTAACCCCGGTGTCAATTTGTCTTGTCAAGGATGTGAAACTCAACTTGTCTTTTTCATTTGCCGGGCTGTCCAATTTGTCCCACAATCTTAAATTGTCGACGAAATACACTTGTAGATTCTAACATGCCTTGTAATGTGCTTTGTCCTGCGTTTTGCTTTACAGGGGGTACTGATTCTGAAACATCTTTTTCTTTTGTGCTCTTAAAGTAACGTGAGCGAAATAACATTCGTTGTTGCTCGTTTTTGTCCATCAATTCTTTATCAATGTGGTTAAAAATCATGCAAGCAATTGTACTTTTCCTTTGTTCGGAAATATCAAGTTTAAAATCCTTTGCCATAGCCTGGAGCGTTTCTTCGGGTGCTTGTAGTTCTTCAGCCATAATCGCCAGCAAATCACCAGAAGCAAAGATCAAAATACGAAAATCAAGAATTTAGAGAAGCGTAAGAATCATACTTTTTCCTTCGCATTCACAGCTTACTTTATGTATAAAAGTCTCGGTGGGACCTCCAATTTGTTGCCCGCTCACTAAATTCTCGATCTATCCCATAATTCACGTATTAAAACAGTAGAAAGCACAATTTATTTCGTAAAACAATGTGAACATTAATAACAACGTGGTTGATTAATCGCCATCTTGAAAATCTGTTTGTCTGTCCTTTCTCGTTACTATGGTAACTGTCACAACTGTATGATGCAATAGTTCCTATTTAACTAATGTTACACGACGTATTGCTAATGGGCATCCTACACAAGACTAACGTATATTGATTGTCCCTCATTATTGGTACCTTTACAACGAACATCGCCATCTCTACTGGGCCGAATACTGGTAAATCAATTAAATTGAACTGTCGACGCTTCATAAAAAATAAACATTATAAAAGCTTACAGAAATGGTTTCCATGCATTAAATAACTTGCCAAATTTGGTTTGTTCAGATGCAAGATTTATTCCGTGATTATATAATCATAATTCATACTCAAACTGAATATTTAAACTTCAAATAGTCCTAGTGATTGTTTCAGAATTTTGTTCTTATACGATGTATACTGTAGAAAAATCTGTGATTCTTTTATTGCATAATGATACTTCGATGGCGTATCTGCAAGTATTGCTAACTGAACTGTCAGCTCTTTCTGTACTATTTCTCCTAAATAAAGTCTCACTCTAAACTGTATTCGAGTTGATTATACTTGTCTATATCTGCGATGATAGCGCTACTGTACTAATTTACTGCATGGTAATGGCTACCTTTTACAGTATGTTACAGTTAGCCTCCTCCGCAGGCATCTCGTGGTACTTACCTACATAAGAACATCAGTTATGTGAATAACTAAATTATATAAGTTCTCGACGATTAAGAGATGCCTGCGGAGGAGGCTATGTTACAGTCAAAATACAAGAACCTTCCCACTTCCGCAATCTGTTGTAATTTACTGTAAATTGTTCTGTTTTTCTGTTGCGGTTACCAAATTATGAGCATATATCGTGACAAAATTTAGTTTTCATTTGTATAGCCCCAGCTAGTTTACGCTCTGTAGAGCGTCTTGTTTAACTAGTAAAGTTAGTGAACTTTTCAATATTTTTTTAATTTTCTAATATTTTTTTAACTTCATGTAAAGACTAGTTTAATAAAAAGTTAGCGAATCTTTAACTTCATAAAGCGAGTTACTCTAAGTAAACTAGTATCGTAACAAGTATAGTAATATTTTTGAGTATATCTGTAAATAAGTTTAATTTAATATCTTGTCATCTTTGTACAGTTACACGTCGTTGTAGCTATTGATAATAATAATAAAAAATGTCACTTCGTTGCACTCCTCTCGTCGCCTGTCTGCCGGCGCAGTTTCCGTGTATCTTGCTCCTGTTCGGTCCCTACACGTCGCTCAAGGGGTTTCCGGATCCTCTCAAGGATACTGCGCGTCTCCATCGTATCCTTCGTGGCATCAAGCGTTCTCGGGTGCCTCGCCGACGGCCGATCCTCTCGTCTCCCAGTTACCCGACCCATTCTGTTGGTCCGTTTGACACACGTATCCATCTGTCAGTGTCAGTGTCGGTGTCGGTGTCGGTGTCGGTGTCGGTGTCGCTACATTCAGCTTCGTGGCTATATCGCGGGGCCGTTGTTTGTGTTTTCTAACGGCAGTCCGCTCTCACCGCTCCTGGTCAACTCGTGGCTGCGATCAATTATCTCCATGATGTTTGTGATGTTACTCTGAGTGTGTATCCACAACAGGAAAGCTTGAAAAATATGCCTGACCACGGTGGGAAACGAACCTACAACCTTTGGAACCCACGACCTTTCCCGGTGTGGATACACACTCAGAGTAACATCACAAACATCATATTCACCTGAGTACAGAACACCAACACAGAAAAAAGTATCTGCATGGTTGGCATCTCTGGAAACTACTCCAGTCACAGTTTCCGTATTTCCATCAGCGGTGGCGGCTGGTAAGCCGTAGGATGAGCATCCAAATATGCTTAGAAAACGGATTCCGTTGCACCCCTCGTGTAACTACGTAATTTTCACATCAATAGATAAAAACTTAATTTATCAGAATCCTCCAAAGTTCGCTATTTTCCCGCTTCGAAATATTCGAACCGCCATTGTTTTGGTAGCAATTACGCATGCGCAAGCCAGCCAAACTCGCACTGCGCACGCGCAGACGCGAAAAATGGATTTTCCCTGCGGGTTTTCCCCGATTTCCCCCGTAAAAACAACAAAATAAATCACGGAATAAAGATCAAACCTTTGTAATATTCACGAATAAATACACACACACATTAAATATTGTTTAAAATAATACATTGTACATTTTGCTTGCTCATATGCTAAATCACTTCAATTCATTGGCTATTGTTTCAAAATACCGTTTTAACGTTTAATGCCTTTAATTCTACTTATTAATATCCTTATTCAATACAAATTTGTGTATCAAACAGGATGGAGAATATTTAAATATACACACGATCAAGGAACAAATTAACTATTTCGCTGAATTAAAGCCTTGGCCAAACACAAGAAACATTGTTGCGGAAGTATTCGCGATTTTCAATGTTTGCTCAAATGGTTCCCCATAGGCGTATCGACGGGAAAAAAAAAAAAAAAAAAAAAATTATGGTCGGGCAAAGTTGATAAGAAGAACCACGGTCTACAATGAATAATTAAATATAATAATGCCAATATTAATTGCTTTTAATATACCTTGTCATATATAAAGAATACCTGTATATGAATGATGATGGCTTATGGCAAAGATTATGAAGTTAGTTATAGTTAGCATACATTTTAGAGCAAATTTGGATGCTCAGAATGCAGGAAATTGCATTTCCGGGCTTCAACTTTCCAACATTTTCAGGGGGAGTATGCCCCCAGACCCCCCCTAGGGATTCATGCGTGGTATGTCGGCCACATGGCTATCCCCCACTTATATATTATCTCACAGAAAGGTCCCTTTTCAAAAAAATGCTCCCCCCCATGGAAAAATCCTTAAAAAAGGCCCTGATAAAATCTCGAACAAAGTTGTTTATGTGTACTGTGTAAGCAAAGCGGTTGGGCAAACTAATACTGTGCCCTCCAAACAAGATTAGGCTCGTACGCCCATATGGTTTCCTGTCTCCTACCATCTGTTCCAACCGACGAAGCCGGACCAGTGAAGGACCTTTAACTGTGAAAGAAACATGTCCCAAGTACCAACTCGAAATTCATCATAAAAAAAGATAAATTGGGAGGAAATATAAAATCCATAATTTCATCATAACTATCTATAATTGAAAGACATGTTTTCATCCTTGAGCCGATATTTTCATCAGTCGGCAATAAAATCCCACTTTTTGGATCCTGGCCTAGGGCCTTTCGGCCTACGCTCAAAACGAGATTGCATGCATTCTGCAATAAGCTGTCCTGACTTTTATTTTGTCTGGTAAAGTTCTACTTCTCGTATTTGAACTATTACATACATTATATATATTGTGACATAGGTTGGTATTTAGCCACTATCTAGAATAACGAGAAACGATTCAACCTGGTTTTTATTCCTTCCTACACTACGTAGTTGACTTGTTCTTATAAATTTGCTGCTGTGGCGCCTCATGCAGCTCCTCCGCTAGGGTGCGTTTCAGCTTCTCAACCATGACCATACTGTTACCCTGTCCATGAGATGGATATACGTGTTTATAATATAAATACTGTGAATCCGAATGAGAATAAGTAAACAAATACTGAACTGCTGCACTGCGCATATAATACCTAAGTACATTAAGGCAATTTTCCATTGCAGTCGCTTTGCCCGCGCGGGCGGAGCGAACATTACTAAACTTTCTCTGTAGTTGCCTATCCTGTGCATTTTTTGTCCGTTTGAATGCTCGCGGACACGCCATGAAAGTAGAACTACATTCAACGTTCTTGACGTGCCCGCGCGACTGATTTAATTTCACGTGATTAAAATTGGTCACTCCGGCCATCCGCGCGGGCAAAGCGACCACAATTGAAAATTGCCTTTAGGGAACTGCTGGCATGGTCATCTATCTGATATTGACTTGCCCTTCGTTTACTTCCCAACCAAAATCGCTCATTTAAGGGGGTGACATAACTGTTTGGAGTGCACCTTTCCATATGCGGCATTGATATGATGTACGATTTGTATGTAAGTAAAATATGAACGTCATTCATGCATGGCATGGTGTTCAATCAGATAGATAGATAGATAGATAGATAGAGATAGAAGTAAACGAAAGGCAAGTCAATATCAGATGGATGCCGGCAATTACTAATGGAATTTTGGAAAACGTTACTGTTGTTGTAAGTCTGGATATTCACCAAGACGTTGTGCCTGTCAAAAAGCCGAGAATAGAAGTGTACTGGTCTTTGTTCCGGTTGCGATTGCACAAATTCTCCCGACCAGAATACAGACGAGAACGATTTCTCAGATGATGATGGCCTATTATTCGAACTTGATGGCGATGGCACTGGATTTGATGGCATACTTGAAGAACAATGATGCATGGTAATGCACTTAGGTATTATCTGCGCAGTGCAGCAGATCAGTATTTGGTCATGGTTGAGAAGCTGAAACGCACCCTGGCGGAGGAGCTGAAACGCATCCTGGCGCCGCAGCAGCAAATCTATAAGAAAAAGTCAACAAGTGTGGGCACGAAAAACCAGGTTGAATCGTTCCTCGTTATTCTAGATAGTAGCTAAATACCAACCTATGTCACAATATAATATATGTAATAGTTAAAATACGAGAAGTAGAACTTTACCAGACAAAAGCCAGAACAGCTTATTGTAGAATACATGCAATCTCGTTTTGAGCGTAGGCCGGTAGACCCTAGGCCAGGATCCGAAAAGTGGGATTTTATTGCACTGATGAAAATCTGGGCTCAAGGATAAAAAACATGTCTTTCAATTATAGATAGTTATGATGAAATTATGGATTTTATTTCCTCCCAATTTATCTTTTTTTATGATGAATTTCGAGTTGATGCCTGGGACATGTTTCTTTCACAGTTAAAGGTCCTTCACTGGTGCAGTCGGGCTTCGTCGGTTGGAACAGATGGTTGAAAAAGATGGTGGGAACGAATGGAAAAGTTGGTCCAAATCCAAGATTGGTATCCATACAATATACTTAAGCGATGGATGGAAGAAGCGCCAAACATATCTTGCATAGTCTGATAATACACAGGAGCGGTCAGAAGGGGGGGGGGCGCAGGAAGCAAATTTTTGTTTATGCAATAAAAGCCAATGTTTCCAGATGTGGGAGACAGGGAAACATTTGAGCAAACATTGAAAATCACGAATATTTCCGCTACAATGTTTCTTAAGTATGGCCAAGGCTTTAGTTTAGCGAGATATTTAATTTTTTCCTTGATCGTGTGAATCGTATGTATATTTATATACTCTCCATCCTGTTTGATACAGGTGAGTTTTTACGTCGCAACAATTTGAATTGAATTAGGATGTTAATAAGTCTAATAAGCAGAATTAAACATTAAAACGGTATATTTTGAAACAATAGCCAATGAATTGAAGTGACTTAGCATATGAGCAAGCAAAATGTACAATGATTTCAAACAATATTTAATGTGTGTATTTATTCGTTAATATTACAAAGTTTTGATCTTTATTCTGTGATTTTATTTTGTTGTTTTTACGGGGGAAATTGGGGAAAACCCGCAGGGAAAATCCATTTCTCGCGTCTGCGCGTGCGCAGTGCGAGTTTGGCTGGCTTGCGCATGCGTATTTGCTACCAAAACAATGGCGGTTCGAATATTTCGAAGCGGGAAAATAGCGAACTTTGGAGGGATTATTTTCGCAATTGTGCACCTGTTTCGCTTGGGGAGCAACGGATTCTGATAAAGTAAGTTTTTATCTATTGATGTGAAAATTACGTAGTTACACGAGGGGTGCAACGGAATTGCATCTCTTGGATGCTCATCCTACGGCCTATGGCGTTCCGGATCACCTTATCACGACCCTTGGAAGCTGGTCCAGTAATGCTTACCAGCTCTATATTCGTACTCCGTCTCACGTACTGACGTCCGTCGCCGCGGTAATAGACAGATTTAGATTGAGGACGCGGACGTCAAAGACGACGTGAAAATGGCGTGTTATGCCAATGTCATGTCACGCCATTTTCACGTCATTTTCACGTTGTCTTTGACGTAAGCGCCCTCAATCTAAATCTGTCTAATATGGTGTAGTGTTGAACTGTTTTGGCGGTGTGTTTGAGTGCCTTCGAATCCCTCTCGCAAGCGTTGCTGGAGTGTTTTGTTTGAAGAGGTAGTGCTCTCGGCACTCGAGAACAGCAATAATATATATAGTAATTCGTCTCATCGCGATGGATGGGCTATCGTTCGTGGCCGTTTCTTCGTCGTTCTCCTGGCCCACCCCTCTTCCCCTTCTCTTAATTGCGAGCGGTTGGTTTCCTTCGGTGACAGTCGTACAATTTTCCCTGCCCCCTCGTATATTAATTTATTACTATAGTTTGCAAAGTTTACCTCTTTTCGGAGCAGATTTTGCTCATCTCCACTTTCTCAGAAGTGTGAATGTGGTACTATAGGGGAGAGTAGTGTTCTCGGCACTCGAGAACAGCAATAATATATATAGTGACTCGCTTAGGCAATTCATCAATACCCAAGTGCATGCATGGCCACGAAATGCTACGATCGAGCCACGGTCATGGCCTCCATTGAATTACCTCTTCAACGGTACTACAACCCTCCAAAACTCCGACTAATCGTGTGACGGAGCGAAATTGTTAACGATATAGAGATTTCTTAATGGGAAGCGCTGACGTATGGTATTTTCGCACGCGTTAATTTGTTTTCACAGAACGAACGAGCGAGTGTAACGAGCGAGTGAATTTTGCGAAAACAAATTAACAAGTGCGAAAATACCATACAAAAGCACTTCCCATTACTAAATTTGTTTATTTTATAGATACTGATATTTTCTATTAAATGGATTGCCTTTATTTAACGTAATTTGGTTCATTCAAAAGCCAAGGGCCATGCAAAGTCAAGATAAAGCACTGCAAAGTGCAAACAAAACTTCATTTTGGCATTGTATATTTTCTTTAAATCACTTGTAAAGGACTTTACTCTCAAACTAAATTTGACATCAATACATAGTCAACAAGGCCTAGAACACTATAACAAACAATATTTTTTCGTTTAACTAAGAGAAAAATAATAATTCGTTTCAAAAACTAAATATAATGCAACTTACATCGCTGTTGTTTTCGTGCAACTGACATGATATTTTTTGTGTCTTTCGTATTCCTTTTCAAAAAATAGATTCATATTTGTCTTTTGTAGTGTTATAAATCTTTTGCAAACATACGAGTTAAATTGTCCAATTCAAATTAAAAATTGACTTTAAACAGCAAGAAAAAGGCAGCAAACTAAATAAAATTCTGCCAAAAGCATTGCCGACAGTGAACGAATTCGCTCGTACGTAAACAATTGGGCGAAACGTTTTTCACACGTGTGAAATAATCGTTTCGCGTTTCAGATCGGTTGACGTTAATCTTGAAAGGGCTTTTCACATTAATAAAACCGTGCGTAAATATCAGTATCTATATAATAAAGGTAACTTTCGTAATAATATACATAAAAATATTACTTGATTGTGATTGGTTGATTTCAGTGCAGTTAATCCCTTTTCTGTAATCACAGTGCAATTTTCTGTGATCACAGTGCAATTTTCTGTGATCACAGTGCAATTTTCTGTAACAAACTGATCTGATTGGTGGAAAAACATGATGATGATAAAATCAACCAGTGAGTTTAAAGCAATTTAGTTTAAAGAAGTAACGGTCACAGATTGCTTCAAAACAAAACGAACATGGCGCCGCGCTACATAAAGTAAAAGTTGACTTCGCGTAGAAAATATGGCTTTTATCTTTATTTTTAAATGGAAAAGCCTTTACCTTAGACAAGACAAACAAACATTCCACTGTTGAGTGGGATTTTGCAAGCTGTTAGCGTTGTATAATGTGATATAACAAAGCTGGGAAAACTTTGCCAGTGGAATGTTCGCTATAAACGCGTAAGTTAAAAATACAATTGTCTCGAACATTTTTATGTAAATTATTAACATTTTTACGTAAATTATTAATAATAGTTGTATCCAAATTGCACTCGAAACCATGCTGTTAACTATACTAAAACATTGCTATTGGTTAGTTGGGCAAAAACACAATACGCACGTGACGGTGAAGGACCTGATTTATGAATAAACGTTGACTAACATAGATAATAGTTATATTGTTATTCTAATGGTTTCCAAACCGTCTATTTTATTAACTATGGTTTTGTAGAAGTTCATGCTTCACATAATAAAACTGTTCAAGTTTGGATGAACAATTTTGCTGGAATTGTTTTATACTGTGCCATTCAGTCAGTATAGAATGGTTGTTTAATTAGTCAGTGAAGTTATTTTATATTTGTAATTTACTGTAGTGAGGTATTTTAATCAGTGATTTTATGGTAATTGTGTTGACCACGATATAGCCAATGATCAGAGAAATACAACCAGTTTGATTTCCTAATAATAAATAATTCATGTATAATTTAAATCGAATAAATAATTTCTTGGGACAATTGTCTATAATGAGTGTCAGAGTGCGAGGGAAGATGAAAAACGTCCAGTTCGTGTATTTGTAGTTTTCAAATTGTGTGTTCGTGTATTTGTAGTTTTCAAATTGTGTGTTCGTGTATTTGTAGTTTTCAAATTGTGTGTTCGTGTATTTGTAGTTTTCAAATACATTTTTCCCATTTTGTTTTTCTTTTTCTCTTCTTTCTTATTTCCACATTTTCTTTTTTATTGCCGCAAAATCCCTTGTTTTCTTGAAAATGTAACCCCTTGTTTTCGTTTAATTTGCTAAAGGAATTGTTTTGGAAGAGGAGTAAAATTCCAGCCTCAAATAATCAGGAAATGAACAAGAAATGCAGACGTTTCTGTTTTCTTGTACTTATGCTTGTCTTTATATCGTTGACGATTTCTAGGATTGACAATCCTTCAGGAATTGGTATTTGTTCTGTCCTTATGTAAGTCCTGTCATCTCTTGTACTTCATCTCTTGTACTTCATTCGAATATAAATGTATTTAAATGGAAGCTTCGGATTGATATAGGGGTGCAACTGCCCGAAAAATACAAGGAGAACTTCGACGTTTCGAGCGAAGGCCCTTCTTCGTCGGGAAGTTACTATATATAAATGGCTATATATATATATATATATATATATATATATATATATATATATATATATATATATATATATATATATATATATATATATATATATATATATATATATATATATATATATATATATCGTGAGACGAATAAGCAACTCTTTTGATTGTAAACTTTTCTCAAGCAATGTAAAACATTGTCCCAATATCATGAACATTTACATTTGAATAAATTTCATGAAACGTAACCAGGAATATTGATTCAAATACGACAATTCGGACTTTACAGGATATCCTGCTGTCCTTGCAATTAATTAATTAGATCACAAATGACTTACTATAGTATGATCACAAATGACTTACTATAATAATAAGAAATTTATAGGTTTGAAAGTTGACGAAATTATATGCTAATTAAGATCACCAGGGGTGGAAAATATAGCGGACCAATGGTTCCAGAAAATATTTTTTGCTGGCAGAAAGAAAAAAAGGAAGGAAGAAAAAGGGGGAAAGAAAGAAAAGCAAAGAAAGAAAAAAAGGAAGGGCAGAAAAAGAATAGAAAGAAAGAGACTAACTCATAGATATCTTATATACACTAGATAGCGCATCTCTTTTAATAAAATTGAAGCCAAGAATATCCCAGCGGTTACTCCCATTTGAATAGATGGCGGCCATATTGGTCGTTCCCACTTGCTAATAAACGCTTAAAAACAACAATAACTTTCATCATTTGAATAGTTTAAAAATGTATTTGGAATAGGTTTAACTTAATGTTTAAGTTCCCTGTTTAAGAAATAGAAAACATACGAATCTTCTCATTTCATGGGAACGACCTGAGACTGCAATCACGGCTTCAATTTTTGAATTGCAGAATAATTAGATGCACTATCTAGTGTATATAAGATATCTATGGACTAACTGCACCAATAAGTAGCCATTTTGTTCAGGGACAGACACTAGGTGTAGGGGGTGCCCCCAAAATAATTTCTGAAAGAACTTTGATAGCGTAATGTAGCCGCATTTGCAGGCAACATTGTTCTACCCCTTTGGCCCTTTGTTGGCTTTGTATCATACCACTGTCTTACCTTATTAGCATGACTTTACATACACGTATTTAGTATTGCTTATTAGTTGGTATAAATATCTGCAAATGCAAAATGTTTTGTGGTAGTATGACATACTGTCCATATCGAGTAATACAAGAAATACAAATGAAGTTATTGATATAAAGGAAGACTTACTTTACAGATGAGTACCCTATTTACGGCGTATAATTGAAGAAGTTTGGGTTAGTTAAACAGCCTATTGACTGTCAGCATTCATGATTTCAAGGCATTTAGATCTTCAAGGCATTTAGATCGACGAACTTTTTCGTCGCTTGGCGTAAGAATAACAAAGTCTGCGAGCAGGCTATTTAGATCTCTTCTCAAACCAGAAAGAGATAAATTTCGATAATTTTATCACAGTTTCGTCAGTTGATTTCATTATCTTAACTGGTAAACTGTGTTCATTAGATCTGCTTATGATCTGCTTCATTGGTGGGATCACATTCCAAGTAATTTAAAAAGTATTCCCAAAGACTTAGGCTTCACAGGAAGTGATGTTCCATTTCAATTTCTCCCGAGTCCTGACTGGCAGACCTTGCATACTCTGTCTTCTTGTCTGATAAACAAAATATGGAATTTATTTTTCCCCAAAGTGTCTGCCATTGTTTATATTATATAAAACACAACTAAAGGCAATCATAGTTAATAGAAAATAAACATCGTTAGGAAGATTGATAAACTTCAAGTAGTTTCCTAACCAAACTTCAATTGATGTTGAAAACTTGAAATGTACCTGAAAGTACACAATTTGTTGATCAATACTAAAATCTTACGGTTGAAGTCTGAGGTTTCCATTGGGCAATTGCTTCATTATCTAGAACAAAATGTTCACTCACTGTGAAAGTGCACAAATTTCCATAAAGGCGAACAAAAGCATAGAACTTACAATACCTTTTGTCCAGCTTCCAAATCACATTTGTTTTCAGACTACTAATTATGATGCAACTATTAATAAAGTTTAGAACCGCTTTCCAATTTTCACAAATTCACAGTCTTTCCTCACTTGTTTATTTCAATTAAATCCTTTCCTCAGCTGCTTTATGAAAGAAAATCTTGTAGGACTGCCACAGCTTTTATATGGTACTATGGTTATTTAATAATTCTTAAGTCTTATTTGTCCTCTTTGCAAGTGAGCCTTTACAGTGCGTCTACTGTAAGTGGGGCCACTTAGAGAACACTAACCAATCACATTGCAGAACAGAAAGTGAAAAAATCAACAAACGGCGCATTAGCCAATCAGCATTAGGGCAAAAACAATTCGAACAAATAAACGAATGTCAAACGGTAAAAGTAGACATGTAAAAGTAAACATTGCAGTTAATGGCTTCCTGAATCTTTCTTTTGATTGGACGAGCTTTAGTTTGATTAGATTTTTCTTTCTGTTCTGCAATGCGATTGGTTAGTGTTCTCTAAGTGGCCCCACTTACAGTAGACGCACTGTAATTAATTTAAATTATACATGACTTGTGTCGACAACTCGCAGAAAATTTTCCCACTTCGTTGCGGCCCCAGAAAATAAAATATTTTTTCCACCCCTAAGATCACATATCCAGTTGCCGTCACTGCATGTTGTGATTTCCAATGTTTATCGCTTATTGTTATGTCCCCGCCAAAACCTACAGAGTAGCAGTCGAGAGCTCCTACAGTACTCAGTTGTTTAAATTATGTATGAGGGCATCTAATAACGTTATTACAATATATTAGAGAAGAATATGTAGTACGAAATTTTTGGAAGCGTGTCAGTCCTAGTAGTCGTAACATCGTTACATCACACCTCGTGACAATTGCCAATTGGCCCAGGATGGCTTTGAAACGTATGAAGGCAGGAAGTAACGATAGAGGTTGAAGAAAAAGGATAGGATGAGGTAAACAAGAAGTAGAAAATATAATGTCTAGCTAGACAACAGCAAGTGTTCACAGGTAACTCAAAGTACTTTAAATCGTCTCACGTCTGTTTGCATTGTAAAGCCTGCGAATACACAATTCCAGCTATCGACTTTTTTTATCTAGACAAGAAAGACGAAATATATCATTAGCTCAAAACAGCATCCTAAAATTAGTAAAATTGCAAAGTTTGGTTGCGAAATGTTGTAAAATACGGAAAGTACAGCTCTGCAAATTTTAGTATTACTCGCGGTAAAAATATAAACCATTAGCCGAAAGTTTTAGTATTATCGTAAAAATTAACCATTTTTGAGCCGAAAGTGGTTATTTTTACCGCACGTAATACTAATACTAAAATACTTAAAATTTGCTAATTTCACAGAGCTATATTTTCCGTATTTTATAACATTTCGCAACCAAACTTTGCAATTTTACTAATTTTAGGATGCTCTTTTGAGCTATAATGATATATTTCGTCTTTCTTGTCTAGATAAAAAGTTAGTCGATAGCTGGAATTGTCCATTATGCTGTTTTCGTAAAAATAGATACAATGTCAATGAAGTAAGTTACACTTGGTCTTGGTTAAGAAAAGGGAAGATTTCCACTCTTCAAAGTCTGGAAAACACATTTTGCTCTTTCTATACATTTAATCGATGAGCCATGCACGGAACTTCAGATCGCAATGCAAGCTAAGCCCTAAGTTGCTATGAGAGTTCAGTGAATGAAGATATCAACAACGACACAATGCCTAAAATCAGTATAACTTGTAGTATATACAAAAAACATGAAATAAAATTACAATTAAATGAATTGATAATTATTTTGTTCTATGCATGACTAGGCCTATGGGATTGTCATCAAGAGTTATCTTGGAATCCTGATGTTTCCTACCATCTTAATCCTGCTCTTTCCCTAACAGCAGGTGCACAGGTAAGATGTATATATAGTTATAGGCACGGATCTTAATAAAGGCATATGTGACATAGCTAGGCTTGTGTAAGTTTTATACCACAATGGCAATGCAAGATATTAAGTATACGAGCCATATGACAATAGTTCTTTTGGGTAGTAGCTCAGTTTATTATTCAGTTAAATTATGATTTTATTTTTTACAAAGATCAAGGTCGGGAATAAACAACTCTGCGTTTGAATATACCAGTTCAAACTTACGTCATTACAGTTGAGTTATATATATATAGTATGACAACGTGCGCCCTCACGTTCACTCCCTAATGTAAGGAATGTGCAGATTTTGAAGTTTATTCGGCATGTTATGCAGGGTGTGTTATAGACCACCTAATAACTCTCTAGAAGAAACAGGGACTCCCGTCCTGTAGTCCTTACCATCAGTCATTTGATTGTAAAGTTAATAAGAACAAAAAAATCAGTGACAATGTTAGGAATACTGACTGGATTGTGGAGCCTATATTCTATCAGGAATGACTAAAAGGATAATTTAATGGGTCTGACAAGTAACATTGGTTTCTTTCATTCTCAACGTTTTATAATTGAGGGATAAAATGGGAGCTGGGAATCGCCTAATTTTTTTCACTAGGAATTAGGAAAATGGGATTTGGACCACTGGGAATGGGATCCAGTGGGTCGAGGCATTCAAATGAAAATGTTGTATAGCTTGGAAAATTAGATTGCAGCCGCGCACCTCCCCCTCTTCACGAACCTCATTATGGCCCCGTTTACATTATACCGGATTGCATCGGAGCGTAGCGATTTTGATACCGGATTCGGCTGCTGTTTACACTACGCCACAGTAATCCGGTATGCGACACGGAGCAAAAATGTAAATAGGCCAAATGAATCCGGTACGCTTCGGTGCAAAATCGGTTTGGCGTGTATGTTTTAACATTGTCGCTTTTATTTCTCTCTGAGTGTTATTTGTTTCTCCTTACATTGACTTTAACATTGACTTTTCGCTTTCGAAAGAGCAAACTTTAAAGAAAATAATACTCGTTAATTTTGGATTAGAACGAAACGAAGTAACGTCTGGTGGTCAAGCTTTTTAAACAAAGTTATACTTTGCAAAGAAAACGTGTGTTACTACTTGTTTTTAATAAATTTTAGTATATTGGAAAAAATGTTACTTGTTTCCATGGCGACAATAAAAGACATGAGCTGGCAACCGAGCGAAGCGGCATGGTAAACATCCTGTTTTTTTACTTCGGAGTGAAAATTATTCCGGTATGAAAAGTAATCCGGTGTCCCATGGTATTACATGGCTTTAGTCATTTGAAATCAGTATCAATTCAAAATTGTTAAAAATACAAATTTACAATTACATGTATCGAAAGGGCTTACACAGTATTAGAATGTTAGCGTTTGTAATCCAAGTGAGAATATATACATTCTAAGACCTAACCAGGAACGACTGCGAAAAATGCAGCACAAGGTCCTCTGGTAGGAATTGAACCTACGGCCCTGCGATTCCGCAACCGTTACAGCTCAACAGCTGGCCTCTGTAGCTCAGTTGCTTAGAGCGCTGCACCGGAATCGCAGGGCCGTAGGTTCAATTCCTACCAGAGGACCTTGTGCTGCATTTTTCGCAGTCGTTCCTGGTTAGGTCTTAGAATGTATATATTCTCACTTGGATTACAAACCTTAACATTCTAATATTAATTCCACCAAGTGAAGTGCAAGAATCCAAATCATTCAAATCAAGTCCACCTTATCACAACCCGCACACCCGATTACCTATATATACATGAACTTACGGTTACAGCTCAACAGCTGGCCTCTGTAGCTCAGTTGGTTAGAGCGCTGCACCGGAATCGCAGGGCCGTAGGTTCAATTCCTACCAGAGGACCTTGTGCTGCATTTTTCGCAGTCGTTCCTGGTTAGGTCTTAGAATGTATATAATCACTTGGATTACAAACCCTAACATTCTAATATTGATTCCACCAAGTGAAGTGCAAGAATCCAAATCATTCAAGTCCATTCTTACACAGTATAGATCAATAGGACTTATCGTACGCTTTTTGTTAATCCTTAAACTCATTGTTAAAAAGTAATCACCGTGGTGATTATTGTAATTATTGTTATTGTCAAGACTTGTTTTTTTTTAATTGATACATGCATAAACTAACAGTTTATCGCTTCCCTGCATATATTAAACCACCATCGGCAAACTGTCAGGTTGAGCTCGGTTTTCTGTGCTGCCGAATACTACAAGACCAGTCAAAGCCTTTATGACATAATTATGGCTTATGTGCCCGGTTGTTAGCACATAGCCGCTTTATTGTTTTAAATTAATCAATTTTTAATAATTAACAAGAAAACTTATTAATTAATAACTATATAACATTTAGCACAGAAAAGGTGGGGGTATTACTAACGCTCACTACACATAACGTATCTATATAAGTTCAACATATAGCGTCCAACAACTAGGAGGAGGGTGGGTAAATCTCTTCCATCCAATTTCTTGATGTGAACTGCAGCCCTCGTGGAATAGGAAAGGAAAGATGGCCCGCTTCATACTGATAAATACCGAAATTTTCAATCACGTGACTATACTTAAACTAGAAGTTACTAACGCAAGGAAAGTGCTGCCTCGCAGCCCAAACTTTGGGTTAGCTTGTTCAAAATCTGTTTATATAATCCGTGGATAATTCAAAACTTAATAACACTATAATGGAAACATAACACTATTATAATTTTTAAACAATGAAAATTGTATTTTATTGTAACAATCGCGTGCATATATGTTACAACAATATTCTAATTATCTAAAATTAAGAAAACAGTTCTCTGTAATGAAACAGGTCCATTTTCTCAGCACTCCAAACAATAGTAGCTAATAGAAATAAGTAATTATGGGTCATTCCACGGCTTATTTGTCCGACAATATGTATAATGTGGCCCGCAGGGCTACCTCCACACATTTAGCTATTATGCGATTGTCACTAAGGTTAACTTGCGGATTTTGTAATATTCTTAGACACAAAGTCAAGTGTGGTCACTTCTAGAGTAATAACCTGGAATGACTCACAGTTAATAACACTATTAATAATGGATAAATATAATGCACAAGAGCCAAGGACGTTAATACTATTAACAATGGAAACATAACTTTATTATGTATACCATAACATGATAACAACACTATTATATATACCATAACACTATTAATAATGGAAGCGCGTAACACTATTATATATCCTGTCTGTCTGTATAATGTTTTTTTTACAAAGAACTGCCAAAAGCTACATATCGTGTTAGCAAGTGAACTTATTAATGAACTTACGACACTATACAAGGCTATACAACATTATACAATGTTATACAAGACTATACAACACTATACAAGGCTGTACGAGACTATACGACACTATACATCGTTACACAAGACTATACGACACTATACAAGAGTATACAACACTATACGGCACAACACAATAATATACAAGGCTATACGACACTATACAACACTATACAAGTTATACAAGACTATGCAACAATATATAAAGGCTATACGACACTATATACAACACTATACAACGTTATACAAGACTATAAAAATTATGACACTATACAAGATTGTACGTGACACTATACTACCCTAAAGAAGACTATACAACACTACACAACGTACGTTATGCAACACTATACAACACTATATAAGGCTATACGATACTATACAATGTTAATTATACAAGAATATACGACATTATACAACACTATACGACACTATACAATAATATATGACTATACGACACTACAACGTTATACAAAACTATACAACACTATATAAGGCTATACGACACTATACGACACTACAGCGTTATACAAGACTATACGACACTATATAAGGCTATACGAGACTATACGGCACTACACAATAATATACAAGGCTATACGACACTATACAACACTATACAACGTTATACAAGACTACTGTATGCAACAATATATAAGGTTATACGACACTCTACAACACTATACAACGTTATACAAGACTATAAAAATTATGACACTATACAAGATTATACATGACACTATACTACACTAAAGAAGACTATACAACACTATACAACACTATACAACGTTATACAACGTTATACAAAACTATACAACGCTATATAAGGCTATACGACACTATACAGCGTTATACAAGACTATACGACATATATATATATATATATAAGGCTATATACGATACTATACAACACTATATAACGTTATATACAAGACTATATAACAATATATAAAGGATATACGACACTATATACAACGCTGTGCAACACTATACAACGTTATACAAGACTATGCAACAATATATAAGGTTATACGACACTATATAAAACTATACAACACTATACAACGTTATACAAGACTATGACACTATGCAAGACTATACAGCACTATACTACACTATAGTCTCGACTACAAGACTATACAAGACTAAACAATACTATACAACGTTTAATATACAAGAGTATACGACACTATACAACACTATATGTCATTTCAATGTTTTCCTTCGTGGTTGAGTTAATAGTTATATACCCTGTGCCTGTGAGCAGAGCTTTAATATCAAGTCTTCAATCATTTTCACGTTTTTCTTCGTAAATCATATGCCAACATTGAACATGCCTGCATCATTCTGACATGATATTTAAACGGTCAATATAAACTTATTACTAATAAGTAAACATTGTCAACACCGTATACTAATAACTGGCCTGCAAAAAATAATTTTCTATTTGTATTTTTATTTTATCTGTGAAGAAGTTATCGTTTTTTGCATCTACTGATTTTCAATCAGTAGCTGCATTGTCAGGACGTACGTCCGTGGATGTCGCAAACAGACGGGTGGTGACATATTGATGACGTATCGATGTAATGCATTGCGAGCATAGAAATTGCGAGCTAAAGTCGGTTATCTACGGTTAGTTCCGCTGTTGTCCATAAATGGTTTTGTAAATAACACGAGTGCTCAATAAATGGTTTTGTAAATAACACGAGTACTTGATAAAATGGATTTGCCAATAACACGAGCTAGCGAAGTGCAATACGAAGAATGCCGTATAACTGCGCGAGACGATGACGACTTTGTATCATACCTTCGGTTCTGTACACAAAAGTTTTAGTCAATATCAAGCGAGATCGTATCAATAACACGTGAGTACAATAAAATGGTTTTTCAATATAAACACGAGTACAATAATCAATGTAACTAGTTGCGTGAGCGGATGACGACTTTGTAAAAGTTCATGTCTTCGGCGAGAGGATACGACTTTGTATGTTCATATCTTCGGTTCAGTGCACAATAGTTTTAGTCATTATCAACATTGTAGCGATTGTAGCCTTTGAAAGTCAAGCGAGATCGCATGTTATCAAATTACACAATTGTCTGAACTCTTTCTCGACGACTTTGTATGTTCATATCTTCGGTGATTTTCGGTTCAGTGCTGGGTTAGTTCAGTGCATGCTTCATTCGATTCAGTGAAAACAATATCAACTAATTCTTCACAATAGTTTAAGTCATTATCAACATTGTGGCGATTTATGGCCTTTGAAAGTCAAGCGAGATCGTATATTATCAAATTACGCAATGTCTGAACAAAGATATAACTTCGGCCCCGTATCTTCATTGCAATATTCTTGTTCGAATCATTATCAATAACTACTGTGTGGAGTGTTTATATTTTCGAGATTGTATCTTCAAATTTGTATCTTTTAGTTTTATCACGGTACATAAAAATGTCCGATTTCTAGTCCGACTGTGAGCTAACAATAAACTAGCAATCCCATCAACAATGCGATGTTTGCACGTTGTGCTTGTGTTATGACTCTGGAAATGCCAGAAATCGATTCCAAAAGTCAGCTAGAGTGCACATCTATGCTTTTATCTGCTCAGTGCCTTTTATTTCCCAATGCTACTATTCTATTCAGTAGATGCATGTCCGCCACAGCGGACCTATGTTTATATTTTTCATCATGGCGGAAAGTACAGAGCGAGAGCTTTACGGCGACTTACGAGCAGTTACCGACTGACAGAAATCCAAATTTCTGCTATATTTTGATTCAAGCTGCATCGTTATAACTCGGTCAAGGAAACTGGCACGAGTCATGACGTCAAAATCAGTTGTCGAGATTAGTGTGCTGCCTACGGCAGCAATTAACTTGCGCGCGCAAACAACTTATTTCGCATAATTAATTTCAACTATAAATTATTCCGGGAGCAATAAAAACTCTTATCGCTGTGGCAATAAGTTCCTTTATCGCTTCCCTGCATATATTAAACCACCATCGGCAAACTGTTTGTCAGGTTGAGCTCGGTTTTATGTGCTGCCGAATACTACAAGACCAGTCAAAGCCTTTATGGCATAATTATGGCTTATGTGCCCGGTTGTTAGCACATAGCCGCTTTATTGTTTTAATCAATTTTTAATAATTAACAAGAAAAATTATTAATTAATAACTATATAACATTTAGCACAGAAAAGGTGTGGTATTACTAACGCCATAAGTCTCCTTGGGATAAAGGAGACACACCCCACCCCAACCTGACAAACCGTTTGCAGATGATCATGAAAAATATCTACATATACTTATACCACATGTTACACATGTTACAGTCAAAAGCAATTAACTTGCACTGGTCTACACAATAACAGTACTATCAATCACCTAGTTTACTATACAAGCGACCACTGAAATAAACATGATCAGCTGAAATGTGAACCTTACCCCTGTGTCAGTTCAATATCCAACCGATGACGAATAAGTGTCGCCAGAGGCGATAAAATACCGTATTATATCAGTTTCTAGCGAAATAAATATCATCAGCTGAAATGTAAACTTTACCCCTGTGTCAGTTCAACATCCAGCGATGACGAATAAGTAAGATAAAATACCTGGGTAATCGCCAGTTTCGTGCGAAATAAACATACATGATCAGCTAAAATGTGAACTTTACCTCTTTGTCAGTTCAACATCCAGCCGGCAATGACGTTTGCGAAAAACAAAACATTTGTTGTACATTTGTTGTAAACTGGATAAATTAACAATATGAAATTGGTCGAAGACCTAAAAGAGTATGTATATCGCTGGAAACTCAGTGAGCGTTTTATGTTGGATAAATTAAATTTAGAAACGTGAATTGAGGTTATATATATAATAGTCCGGAATGACTGTTGGTGATGAATGAACGTTGGCCGATGCGAGCTGTCTACTCTCAACGTAAAAACCTACATGTATCCGAGATAAAGGTTCCCTGAAACACTTTTTAATCCAGATATGTGCCGAGTACGAAATAAAGATATACTTAATGCTATTAATGAAACAAGCAAGCACCAGTTTACGTACAAATATCATAACAGTCGAATCCTAAAATGTAACCGAATAGCCTTATTATATAATATCAACCAATGCATCATCATCTGTAAAGAACGTTATACGCTGATTTATCATCGCCTCGCCTTTTAAAATTCCGGAGTGCGATAGGGTATAAAGGCGAATAAAATGCTGGGCCGATTTGCTGCGTTTTGTAAGATCAATAAGCCGTCGTAACAAGGCGCGTACTAAATAATACTAGGGATGTTCGAACGTGGCACGACCGCAGAACATGCAAAACTAAATTAAGCAAGCCAGTCGAGGATTGGATCCTTTTACGCAAGTGACTTAAATTCCGTAGTCTGATCCTCAGGTAAATCCTCAGGTAATAAATAGCGCTGTTAATGTCCGTAAAGTGTCTAATTCAATTCCTGCGAATGAGAGCCCACGGATTGGCACTCCCAAATATTTGCAAAGAGATAAGAAATCAGCAAGATGAATGCGGCATTGGTGATAATTATAAGAAGCTGCCATCGGGAAGTCATCCAGTATGTGAACGAGATGCGAAATATTTAGCTGTGTTTTAGCAACCGTTTCTGAAGCCGTATTAATTTTAATTTAAACATGTCGAATGTATACGCAGGGACGTCTCCCGAAAAGGTCTTTTATTTTTTTAAAAAGTCCATAAAATTTGCTTGCGGTTTACTGAGATTTGCATCCTTGCCTTTTGCACCATAGCACGTATGTCGTTATTTTCAGGCCAGTGTGAACGCCTGAGCAGGCGTCTTGTTTTAATTTAAACATGTCGAATGTATACGCAGGGACGTCGCTATAGGGGGGGGGGGGGTAACACCCCCCCCAATAATTCAAACGTTGGTCAAAGTTGGTCAAAATGGAACTATCTGATATGTGCCCAAAGTTGGTCAAAATGGAACTGATATTTGCTTAAAATTGAAGGTAAAACTCGGAAAAATTTGGTGAAAGTTTGGGAAATAAGATGGTCGAAGTTGTTAAAAGTTATGAAATGGTTCGCACTTTTAACAATTTTAAAGCTTTAGTTACGTTTGCGGTGAAAAAATCGGAAGCATTGCTTTTTCGACTTGATCAAAATCCTAGGAAAGTTGGTCAAAACATGACCCCCCCCCCCCCAATGTTGATGGCTTCGCGACGTCCCTGTGTATACGACATCAACACGAGCGTAGTTTATCGCAGGGGCGGCGGAACAGGGGTGGGCTAGGGGGGCTAAAGCCCCCCCCCCCAGAAGTAAAAGTGGGGGGCTTAGCCCCCCCCCCCAGAAAATTTGAATTTTTTGAAAAAATTTTGATAATTACGGAAAAATTTAGGTTATTTTTTGAAAATTTAGGTATGAGGGCCAAATTTGCAATATTTTGTTTAAAAAAAGTCTATTTGGGAAAAAAAATTTTAGATATAAGTCCGAAAAAAATTTTTTCGTCCCTTTTTTTGTATATTGTACCCCTAAAATGGTACACTGACCGAAATTTTTTTGGCGACGGGGGGAGGGGGGGGAGGTCGCCGAAAAAATTTAGCCCCCCCCAGAATGAAATCTGTTCCGCCGCCGCTGGTTTATCGCAATGACTACCAACGATATAATTTAGATAAAATAAATAATGTATTCCGGCGCTTGTTTAGCAACAA